GAAGGAGAGAGAGAGAGAAACATCAATGATGAGAATCATTGATTGGCTGTCTCCTGCACACCCCACACTGGAGATCGAGCCCACAACCCGGGCATGTGCCCTTGACGGGAATTGAACCTGGGACCTTTCAGTCCGCAGACCGATGCTCTATCCACTGAGCCAAACCGGCTAGGGCACCTTTTATTTTAAATGTTTAACTTTTAAATATATTTTGATTGGTTTCAGAGAGCAAGGGGAGAGGGAGAGAGAGATAGAAACATCAATATTGAGGAGAAACATCGATCAGTTGCTTCCTGAATGTGCCCTGACAGGGCTATAGAGCCCGACCCGGGTATGTGCCTGACTGGGAATCGAACCAGCAACCCCCTTGTTCCTGGGTTGATGCTCAACTGTTGAACCAACCAGCTGGGATATATGATTTATCTTTAGGTCTGATGTTAGTAGGCTCCAGGCATGATATGTTATAGATGCTTGAAGAAAAGATTTTTATTTCTCTTTATACTGTGAAACAGATTTCCAGGAAATCATCAATTAACATAGGCTATGTTAGCATAGACCAAAATCAAGTATAGTTGCAAGAATATATATTTAGTGAATTGATAGTCATCTTAATCTTTGATAAATATTTAAACTCTAAAATATCATCTATTCCTTATCATTGACCTGAAGATTTTTGACAAGGGAGTCCTTTCTCTCTATTTAAAATTGCTTATTTCTTGGTTGAGCTGGACGATACTGAAAGGGAAAAAAAAAAGGTGTCATTGCTATGATCTGAGACTGGGAACTTCAGGCTCCATAAATTTGTTTTATTTGATTTAGATGAGGCAGCAGGTAATGTAACTGGACACAGTTGACAAGAAATTATTTTTTATTTAAAGAACTATTTGAAGAACACGCTCATTAAAGAAAATTTAGGGGGAAAGTGGAAATGTAAGTGGAATGTACAAATACACAGATAGTTCTATCACCCATATAGGCGATATGTGGCTAATATTTTAGAAGTGCCTTTTGGAATAGACCAAGGCAAGAAGTGGCAGGCGTATTTTAATGTTTTGAAAACAAAAAAATATTAAGATTGAAGGTCAGTAACAAACTTGGGGGAAAACAAAATTTTAAAAGCAAATCCTTATAACAGCAGTTCATTTTCATCCTGATTACGTCTAGTTATACATATATATATGTTATGATCAACAACTTTGTGTGATATGACTGGTGACATGCATTATTTAATTTCAGAAGCTATGCATCTGATTATTTAAATGTTTATGTTAGAAATAAGCAAGCTCTCAAAACACACAAAACTGAGAATTATCTTATTAGGAAAAATACAAAATCAGTCCAATCTTTCAAAAGACCAGAGAAAAATGGGAACAAAATGCAATTCCAGCAGATGGTGGTAACATCCAGTCTTATCTGTAAGTAAACCAGATGTCATAGGCTCTTCTTGGTAGACTGTCCTCATGCCTTGTGACTCTGTTGAGGCCATCCATGTTGTCGTATCTACAAGAACAAACACACACAAGTCCAGTTTCACAAGTGTTTCTACGTCGCGGACCTCTTTTGTGGGGTGATGCAGAAGGGGGTAACGTTGTACATCTGTTTGAATCACCACCACCTGGGGCTTCCTCTCTTCCGGACCAGGTTTCACTTTGGTTCTTTTTGATCTTGTACTTCTTCAGGTATTGTGCTGAACACGTGTTATGATCATAATATGTTTAATGATCTGTCTCCTGTTTGACTGTGTGGACATGAGAGCTAGGATTATCACCTCGCAGAGTGAACAGACAATGCCAGTAATGTTTTAGTCAAAGAGGGAAATAAGTGTGTGTGTGTGAGTGAGTGAGTGAGTGAGTGAGAGAGAGAGAGAGAGAGAGAG